GTCTATCGTAAAGCTGTTGGCTGGTGCACTGTAGGTCAGACTCGTCTACAGTCCTGCCAAATTTCATGTTGATCAGTGCAGCCGTTTTTGTTCTACGGTTGAACAAAAATCACTGAAAAAAAAAAACAGTACAAAAACAATATGACTCCTGCATGCGGGGGTCACAATAAGGATGTCTGGTTGACCTGACCTGTAAGTCTGAGGGGGGGACAGGAGGCAGGAACTAATAGCTGTGTCTAAATTCAGGTGCTGTGTCCTCTCAAGGCCGAATTTGTCGGCTACTTATGTCACAGTGCCACGCCCTGGAGCCTGTCCAAATTTGAAGACTCCTGCGATGRGGCCCACAGATGTGTCCTCCTTTTTCCCCAATTTGAGGGAACCTAGACCGCGTAGGCTGGGTCCTATGAAGGACCCAGCCCCTGAATTTGGACACAGCCAAAGTGTTGTCTGCAGACAAGGGTCCATTAAAACAGTTTTTGTGTTAAAATGCAGAGTCTTAGAAAAGTTTTCAACCCTTTAAACTTTTCCACATTTTGTCACACTTTAACAGCAAAGTTCAAAGAATTTACTGAGGTTTTAGAGGACAGTCCACAAATATTAATTAAGAAGTTTGATTACTGCAGGTATAAATGAGTTTTGAAGTCTACTAGTCCTACTGATACCTGCGTCCAGACTGAAGCAACCTGAACCTGAATGGAGTTGGTGATCAGGATCTGCTGGGACCAGTCTGGTCTTTACTGACCTCACCTTGTGTAGGCCAYTGAGGTTCTGTAGGTCTATACCAGTAATTCTGCTGCACATCCTGYCAACCATCATGAGTTTGTTCCTGTTCTTKCATGTTAAAACCTAGGGCTGGGCGATAAGTCTGAAACATTTATCAGGAAACAAYCATTTCATATTGGTCTATCAATAATTATTGATTAGTTTTAGACAACATCGGCCTGACTCTTGTTGAATTTAATATGTATGAAAAACTGTCAAACTGGTGACCTTTCCTCTTTTATCACAATTTCCTCTAAAGTTGTTGCTTCATTTTCTCCTTTTACTCCATGTTGTTCTTTTATTTTTAGGAAGTTTTGAGACTCAGTGGAGAAACATGAAACTGTTGCTACATGTCACTCCACAGGTTTTTTTGCTAGCTTACCTTGTTTAGCTGCAGTCTTTTAGCTGTTGGGGCATCATATATGGACACCTTCTTCAGTTTTTAGATGCTTCATTTCAGTGTAACAGCATCCTAAATCAGTAATTGGTTTCATGTTTACCCTACGATGCTGGACCAGTCCAGCAAGCTAGCGCTCCATCACTCGAACGTGCCGAAAGGAGGGGGAAAGAAAAGAAAGAAACCTTGGTTTACACATTTCAAAATAAAGTACACACTTTTTAATTTTTGTTTTAGCGGGCATTTATCACCTTTTATTTTGAAGGTGAATCTTAGCATTCTCTGTSTTGTTTAGCTGGAAGGTCCTTGCCWTTTTAATCGGAAAGTTATCAACCGTTAGAAGTTAATAACCAGTGAAATTATCAATATTATATCAGACGTATTTTCTATTGATARTGAACATCTGTCTTTTGTGATACATATCGATATTGAATTATCACTCAGCTCTATAAAAAGAACAGGTAAAGGTTAGCAAAGCATGAATGTAATATTCTCATAAAAGTAAAATCAACATTAAAACCACAGAGCTTTGATAAAAATACATTCTCTGATGGGCTATCTTACAAAGTGAGTTCACGAGCATCAAAAGTCAGTTTATCATCCAGAACAATTCCAAAATATTAATATTGATGCTCCATCTCAACAGCTTCACCATTAATAACCACAGAAGCTGAAACCAAAGAGTCTTTTCTAAAATCAGTGAGCATCTCCTTTGTTTTTGAAACATTTAGCTTTAAAGCTGCTGTATGTAGTTTCTTGGGAACCCAAAAACTTAGAAAAATTTTGAACAGAAACAACTTTGTAGTCC